TCAGCAAATAAATGGAGAAACACAATCACATTTTAAGATTGCACCAACAGCCTGGAGTAACTGGACAGGTGTATTCAATGTTCAATACAGATTAAAAAATACTATTAGGATTTACTGAAATCTATACCTATGGCTTTAGTGAAGATTACTCGGACACCTTGTTGTCACTGCCTAGGTTCCTTCTGTTTTGGAACCACTTTTCTAGCATTTCTTCTAACCCGATTTTAAGACTGAAACACTCATCTCTAAGGAAGAGAGAAAGCTCAATTCCCATAGCAACTCTAAGTCTACCGTACTATATTTATATTTGAGAGTCTGATTTAAATACATTAGCGTATGTGAATCTGCAATGTGTCTGAGTCGCTATGGAAACCATAATGTTGAATTCCCTTTTAAGTTTTTTAAGTCTTCACACATAAAGCCTACCTCCCCAGACAGCTATGGAACTGCAGGTAGGATCAGGACAATTACACTTAGGAACATCGTGTTTCACCATGATGTATGCACTTAACCGACAGCTGTCACCGTGACATGTGCATTTAAACACATGGCTGTGGGAGGTTGGCCAAAAATCAACTGAAGACACAGCTACTCAAAATGTAGTCAGAATTGACATTACCTGGCAGCTCCTCACACTACGTGTAACCTGTTTACATGAGCGTTGATTATAGTAGAGGTTTGCTGTCCACTTATACAGATACATACCGACTTTACGCTTCGAGTTCCTTAGGAGAAAGGTTTCTTATCTACATTGGAATGGCAGAGAAATCTAGCATGCTTTCAGAAGGAATACACCAAATGTGTGGCGAGCATCTATCTTTACAAAGGAAACCATCTCTGGTGCACAGCTACACACAGCAGGACGCTGTAAAGGCAGGGTTTTCTTTTCTTGCTAGCACAGACAGTGGACCCTCATTCACCATTACATGGCATTCATTCCATGTCACTTCCCCCCACTGTAACCTCTGTCATACAAGATGCTTTGAAACTGCCAGGCACGCAAGTTAAACCAGCCTGAGGCATATCTGTGAGGAGAGATCCATCTACTGCAAAATTAGCCAAGTATTCCAAAGTGCCAACCCCCATCCCGTCTTCAACTGTACAAGCCATTACTTGTTTCCAAGGATACAGATAATTAAGAAGAGATCAAGGGTTCAATATGAAAACAGAATAGTGGCTGTATGTTACCGATCTAGCTCCAGGCAGGTCACCGCCCACTTCATCAAGCACTTCGATTCATCCCCAGTCTTGAGCAAAAAAGTCAGACTTGTGGTCTTGGGCGAAGGACAGCTCACACCACACGCACTGAGATCACATTATGGGGGTTATGGGTCAGGGTTCTGAGGAGAGAGTTCTAAGTGAGCCCTGACACCTACTGCATCACACTTACCCACACATGTGGGACTCATGCAACAGCTGCATTTGAAGCACATGTCCAGGCGACCCAACTCTGGTAAACTTCCCAGCGGAAGACTTGGAACTCTCACTGCTGTCTGTGCTGCGCATCCTGTCCTAACAGGTCGTGTGCCGGGAACTGAGGTCCTCATGTTCCACTATATGACCATCATGATGAAAAGGCACAGACTCTGGAAAAGTCCTAGAAACCTGGACTAAAGTGCATGACTCCTATACACAGCCTTTCTAGCACCTCCCCTGACTTTCAAAAAACGTTTGACTTTTTTCCAGAAACGTTTGACTTATTTTCTTGGCCACGTTCCCAATATCTGGATGCAGGACTTCAAGAAAGTCAGAGCCTTCTGCATTTCTAGGGGCCTTCCTCTCATTGTGGTCTTTAAAAACTATATCCCACATGTGATGCACGTCTTGCGATAATTTTTCTCTAGTAAAATTTTATTGCCTAGCATTGTCTAATATTCAGGACACATTTGATTAAAGGGGGGAGTGTGATTAATTTGCCTCCTGAAAAATACCATTCCTCCCTAAATAAGACCAACAAAATAAACACCATCAAGGCACAGGAGCAATATCAGAAATCTCTGCCTTCTGGAATACCAAAACAATCAAATTTATTAACTGTTGGCTTTCATATATTTCCCTAGCTTTGTCACCTGAGAGGTTAAGCTCTGGAAAACACAGATTTCTCTGTCAGGCTCATGGTGTTCCATGAAACAGCTCGAGTTCCTCTGTGGCTTTTGTGAGAGGGCTAGCCAGCATAGCCTAGTTCTCGGTGGGGGAGTAGAAGTGTTAACAAGTGTTAAAGGGTTAAAAAATAAGATAAAAGTGCATTATGACTGTGGGAGGAAAGTATCCTGAGGCTTAACTATTTGAATTTCAAAAAATGCAGCTGAGTTTCAAAGCCAATCTGTCTACCAGTAACAGCTACATAAAGGACGTCAGAAGGGAAATAACGCGCTGTGGGTTCACTGAGTCCTGTCACTTCACGGGCTTCCCAAATCCCAGTCACGGGGACACGCCGTCAGTATCGGCTCTACTCCAACTCTTAGACTGATGGAGGCTGCTGACAAAAGCAGGTGACCATTCTGAACTGCATCAAATTTCGCCTCCCAATCTTCTTGTGGATTGATTTTCATCCAACCTCTCTCCCTTCACTTCTGCTCCAGAACAATACATCTTCCCTTTCCCATTAAGCCCCTGAGCCCTTGACCTCATCTTCTTCTCCAGGTTCGGGGCCATGGTCCTCCAATCTCTCTGGCTCCTCAGAGAGTCTCCCCTGACCTTACAAACCTGATATTTTTGTGTCGACCCTAAAGCACATAATTAGAGCACCATTCTTATCCTTCCTCAAGCTTCCTTCTCCCTGACAATAGCCAGCTGCTCCTCTGTATCCTTGACAAAGCTCCTCACTTCCACACCCCGCCTGGCCTTGCTCAGTTGCGGCAACCCGGACTCCAGTGTCTAGCGTCTCAGGGGACCAGTTCTCCAAAGGATTATTAATCACGCACTGGGAGTCAGCTTTCTACATACTATTTTCAAGTTTCATTGTACATCATAATTCCACAATTAATATTCATGACCCTCTTTCTAGAAACTTCCTACTGTTTCTTCTGTGCGGCACAGATGAGGGAATTTGTAGATAATGAGGACAAGGCAACATACTGCGGCTCTGTTTGGAGGAGAAGTGTTAAGAGCGCAGGCCAAAAAAATTAAGGTCACAGTACGGCTGTGGAAGGAAGAAAAATATTCTAGGTCTGTGATTTCACACACCACTCACGATTCAAGTTCTCTTGACTTTCTTGTCTGCGCTCATCCCTTTAAAAGGCTTCTTCCCTTTGTGTGTCTAACTTGGTGCTCAGTGCTCTTCATCTACGCGCTCATTCATTCCTCACTGGACTCAGTCAGTCACTCGGTGTCTTTCATCCAACTCGTGCCTAAATGCAGTCCTTGTCTCGTCATTTCATGGATGATTTTCAAGTTGAGCAATCCAAGAAACCCTTGTAGGCTTCCCTCGAGTTGACTCCTTGCAGGGTCAGAAACTGTCCGCCATCCCAGCTCCTTCCTCTGCTTCCCTGAAGGCCACGCCTTAGTTTCTTCCAATCTTTTGGCATCTTCTCTGCATTCCAGGGAAGTTTCTTCTCTGCTCACCCATAATTGTTAGGAATTCCTGAAGGCAGCCCCTCCTTATCATTCTGTATTGACTTCCAGCTTCAAGATATGGAATACTCACAGATGTTTGTTTATGTCCTGCCCACTCTTTTGAACTACACACACACACACACACACACACACACACACACATGAACACGTGCACACACATATACTATTTGGATAGTCTTTTGGATGTTGCAAAGAAACCTGAAACTCAGTGTATTAAGATAAATACAGTTTCTCCTCAAATCCAGCTCTCTCAGCGCTTCCAGAATGATAGCCTCATCCTTCCAAGTGTGGGAGACACAGCAGGAAGTCACACTTGGCTGCCCAATTGCTCACTGCAGGATCTACCCGCTACCAAAGCTCAGTCCCGTTATTCCCTAAATATGTCCTAGAGGTACGTATTCTTTTATTCTACTATGCTATTCCACATGAAGAAGACCTCATGTACCAGACCGGTAAGTATACAAGCTGATCTTATTATCTCTATTTGGTTTTTTGAGATAGGGTTTCTCTGTGTAGCTTTGGAGCCTGTCCTGGAACTCACTCTACAGACCAGGCTGGCCTCAAACTCACAGAGATCCACCTGCTTCTGCCTCCCGAGTGCTGGGATTAAAGGTGTGAGCCACCACAGCTCAGCCAATTGTTTTTTAAATAAATTATTTCAAAAATCTTTTGAAGATGTCAGATTTCCAAGGGATACAGATTGCCTGGGACATAGCTAAGAATTCAGATAGAAAAGACAGAAAAGATTTCTAAGTAGCGAGGAAAAGTATGATTATAAAACTGCCAGTATTTAGTATTAATCATGTCTAATTCATACTGACTATAGTAGAATGGACAGAAATAAAAAAAATCCTTATTGCAATAGGTCTGAACAATGGGCTCCACATTTGGGATGGAAAAAAGTTTGAGAGTTTCACTGTTAGTGGCCTAGCACACAAGTGGCATTTATAATAATGTCCCCATTTCACCAGAGCATACCTTATCTGGTCAGGTTGACTCTTCTAGGTATGTATCCTCAATGGTTTCCCCTTTTAGAACAAGGACGTATAATAAATGAAGGGTCCATATTAACATACAAAAATGACTAATTTCCTTTGAGTGCCTACAGAAAATGGTCCACACTTAATAGCACAAGTCAGCTTGTGTTATGGTCTGTCTTGCAGTAAAAATATTTTAATCAAAATCTAAGTAGACTAATTTTTTTTTTTAGAAAAAATTAGAGAGAAAAAGAAACCTATCTGTTATTATCTTAACAGCCGGGACACAGCATGTGTGGTTCTGCCTTTTTAATATCTGAAATCAAAGTCATTAGATTCACGACAAATGGGTCACAGAAAAATCAGTGTGAAAACAGACAATACTGAGAACCACTCAAAGGCATGAAACTACTGTCCGTTACAGGCACAGGAGAGTGGGAGCCATACCTGCTGTGGGGGAGTTTGCATGGTGAGACTTCTTGGGCAGGTTGAAGATCTGTTCACCAGGGTCAGGGGGAGGAATTGCATCTTGTCCTTGTCGTGCCTCGACGGGATCATACTCCTTCCCATCATAGTTAGCATCGTAGAATTTCTTAAACCACTGAATAAAATCCAGGTTGTCTTGGAAACGCCCTTTCACCAGCTTCTCCACTGGAATTACCTGCAACATCAGGTCACTACATCAGTCACAGATCTCAGGTTTCTTTAGAGTGTTATGCAAATACAACCTAAGAATTGCTCACCTGCAGTTCTTTTATGAACAAAATTAAAATATTTTTATGTGTATATGTGTTTCCTGCTTGTCTGTATGTGCACCACGTGTGTGCAGTGCCTGCTGAGGCCAGAAGAGGGCGCTGGATCTCCTGTAACTGAAGTTACAGATGGCTGTGAGCCACCAGGTGTTGGGGATGAAAACTGAACTGGAGTCCTCTGTGGGAGCAGCAGGAGGTGCTTTTAACCACTGGGCTGTCTTTTGGGCCCCACTGCCTACAGTTCTTAACCACCGACTGTTTCCTACCTATTTTCTCAGCAGAATTCCAGAATTAACACAATTTTAACTATTTAAAGAACAGATGGGGGAAAACAACAGAGTGGATTGTCGTGGAAAATGTAGTACTTCCTGAATAACTAAAAAAGGAATATCCTGCCTTAGCTGTCAAGACGGGGCGTCTACCCAGTCTGGTGGTAGCGTGTGCCTGTAATCCCAGCCCTTGAGGGACCAAGGCAGGATTATGGGTTTGAGAACAAACTGTGAGGCCTCATTTCAGAAAAGCCAACATACAAAACCAGAAAAAAAAATAGGGGACTTCTCTCGTGCACAGGATATTTATAGTTTAACGGTCTCCCCACAAAAATATAGAGCCTCGGATGTTGTGCTGATTTCAAAGGCAAAACGCTTTCCTGTTTCTCTAAGAACCCTTGGCCCAGCTGAAGCGAGATAAACTCTTATAAGATTATAGCCAGCAGACAGAGTACACGAGCCAGGGGCAGTGAAAACGGACACGGAGTCCACGGGCTACCAGGATCAGAGCTCATTAAAATGCCGAGCGACAAGTACTGGTGCCACCAGGCTTATTGTGCCATTGTGGTGTTGGCTGCCTCCCTCCTCTGGAGCACGCATGGGACTTTCTGGTACAACGGACAACGATTAATGAAAAAAGAAGCCATGAATTTGAAAGAGGGGCGAGTACAGGAGATAATGGCGGGGAGAAAGGGAAGGGGGAAGTGATATAAGTATACTAGAAAGCCCTTAAGTATCATCATAACATGGAAGACAGAGATGGGAGGAGCACCTTAGGCTACATGTTCAGCTAAGTCATCAGTGATATAGTTTCCAATAACATTTAAGTGCAGCTGCAATAGAAACCGGTGTAGGTGCAGAACAAAGAGAAGCTTCTGGAAGGGGCATTTCTCATGAAGCTGCTTCTGCTTCTGGGCGCCGGGCGCCGCCCTGTCCCCCTTCTCACCTCCTCTGAACTCTCGCTGAATCCCTGCCCTGTTTTATTACAGCTGATGTCTTCTGAGTTCTACCGCCCACTTTCCGAGAGACTGACAGACAGCTGATAAGCGACTTGGAGCACAAGGCCCTTCATGAACAACCGAAGCAATCTGTCCGCTGCCTGTGTGTGAGAATTTCACGTGGTGGCGGTACCCGACAGCTACGAGGCAGCTCTTACTTCTGTTGACTTAATTTTGCATTCCCGGTTACGGGGACATAAGCTTCAAGTGCGCCCTCTAACACACTGGGCGTGGCAGACGCAACAGGTACACGACACTGTCTAAGTATCTGGGCAATCATAGCACCCTGGGGACCCTTGGCTGACAGGCTGGTGAGGCCAAGGCCGGTCTCCTGCCATTGCAAACTTGTTTTTCAACATTCTTAGCTCTGCCATTTTCTGCGTATTCACTTACAGAAAGATGCACAGAGCTCTCTGATTTGATACACAGCAAGTGAAACCTAGGGGAGGGTGTTTCTTCCTTCTAATGCCCAAGCATGGACTTAAAAGTGAAAGAGGAAAGACCCCAGCTCTGAAAAGTAAGGAGAGCCTGCATATCTGCTGTACGGGGGAAGAGCGGCCTGGAGATTAGCCACAGCAAAAGGAATAAAAGTAAAGATTTTTACAGAGAAACTATTATCTGTTTCTTTTTTACTTGAGAGGGGGGTATCGCATGTGTTGTCCAGGATGTTCTCAAACTCCCAGGATTGAGCAATCCTCCTGCCTTAGCCTTAGGAGTAGCTGGGACTAGCACCGACATGCCTGGTTGAGACCGTACAATTTAAAATCAGCATTCCCAGAAGAGAGGAAGCCAGAATTTCTTTGCTTCTGATCTAGGGAAGCCATGGTCTGTGCCTAAGTACTACACTTTTCCTTAACCTTTATCTCTTATAGCCTAGTCTCTCTGTTTTTATCCTGCAGCCCATTTATTCTTTTTATTAATACTGTCTTTTTTAAGAGTTGTTTCTCTTCTGCTGGTTTATCTCTTTCCCCTTTGTTTGAAATTCATGCCTTGCCATGCTTATTCATTCTAAGACACATGGCCAGTCATACTTATTCTAAGAGAAACACCCTAAGTAACGAACACATATTAGTAAGCGAACATTTGGATAGCAGTCAGCACACACTGAGAGAGACTAGCGGGTCTTAGTCCCTGAGTCCCTTATTGGGAGGAAAAAGATACGAGGACCAAGACTTCCGTTTCTGTCACCCTAGGGAAAAACTATGCTTCAAAGGAGACAAGCAACATTCGTGGATGTTGGAATCTGAGGGATGCTGGACTCTTTTATAGGCATTTCCACATGACCCTGTTAGAACCACAAGGAAGGAGGACTCTAGTCCTCCTTCACAGAGGGGCCAGTGTAGACACCTAGAAAACACACATTACTTGTGTCAGTCGTGGAACTGTCAGTCAAACCCAGGGTGGTTCCCCTTAACAAGTTGTTTTTCCAAAGGGACGAAATACCCAAAGAACCCCGGAGGCCTCTGGTAAACACTAAAGCTTCTCATTTGCAACATGGAGAAGCTAAAGAGATAAGGCTGTAACATTCAGGACTCCGGCTAAGAGGCTTCTGTCTGATGGCTATGGGGTTAAGGATTTCATAAAACTAAAACCTCACAGGCTTTGGGGGGGGGGACACACCAGAGCTGTTGTTTATGTACGGATAGGCCCCCCACATCGTGCAATATCTTCATGGATATGTGCTCAGACTGTTTCGCTTTTGATTACAACTATAAGGGTGCTGGATAGTTGGGTACCATATGCACAGTGCTCTTCCAGAGGACCGGAGGTCAAGTCCAGTGCCCACATTGGGTGGCTCTCAGTCACCTGTAACTCTGACTCCTGGGTAGCCCTACACCATCTTACATTCTTTGCAGGCACTGCACTTACATGTACAAACCCACATACATATGGTTTAAAAAAATGGTAAAATACTAAAAGCAGTTCTGAAGAAAGGAGTGCATTCGACAGGGATATTAACAAGCTTCTTACCTTATCGACATTCATCCGCTTAAAGGATGCTTGCAGAAGTTTAAAGTTGTGAATGTACTCATGCTCCAACTTTGCCTGGAATTTCACCTTCTTCAGACTGATGCAGCCAGGAAAGAGCATGTCCATGAACTGGCAGTAGGCTGCTCCTGGAAAGGAGAATGATAGCAGGCATGAGGCTCGCTGCTCCCAGATGGGATGGGGGTCACGACCGCAGGACACATGTCCCTTTACCACGGCGCTTACACCTCCTCCACAGCAGGGCACACTCCAGCAGGACAGCACCAGCCAGGGCCGGCCACTGTGCGTTCAGTTCTCAGGACCAACCTGTGGAATCCTCCTCAGTTCTCAGGACCAACCTGTGGAATCCTCCTCAGTTCTCAGGACCAATCTGTGGAATCCTCCCCTGGTGCCAAGGAAGCCATGGTGAGAGTCTTGCTGCTTCTCTCAGAGGAAAGGGCACACCCTTGCCCTTCTGTCTAGCTGGTGTCCTACTCCCTGTCATCAAAGTCAGCTTACACAGAAAAAAGCCCAGGACATGGAACCACGAGAGAGGCACACAGGTTCTCATGGGATGTGGGTCCCAGAGACATACGCTCGTGCTGTTTTACAGCCATCTTGTGAAGCGACTGTGCTGGATGGAAACTGTTATCACCGAGCCGGCTAACACCAGGAGCAGCTGCCTGCCAATCTCGGTCCAGCCCAAGAGCAGCATGCTCCCCTCATTACCACAGAGGCGGGAGCCAGGGACCACCTGAAAACCTTGGTGCTCGGAGTCATGCTGTTCACAAGAAATGTCCACTAGGACCCTCCCACCCCACCCCCACCGTGAACAGGAGAGCTGGTCTTAGCAAAAGTGTTTTTACTTTTAAACAGAGGGAAGAACTATTGAAACATGCTAATCTCAGCTAGAAAAACCCCAGTAAGACAGCGTTCATTTGACTCCTATCTCAATGGCATTTAACATGAGAAACTGTCACAGTCGAATCCTGTCTCAGAAGAGGAGCAACCAGGTGCCAAGAGCCGGGTAAGGGGTGTGACACTTAACCTTTATTTGTTCGCCGTCTGCAGACAGCTCGCTCTATTTCCACAGCATGTGTATTGACAGTCTTTCTGAACCATGAAGGGCCGCCCTCATTTATCATCGAGGCTTCTGGGAGGCCTTGTCTTCCAAGTGGGAGACTCCCCTTTTGGCTAGGACACTCCTGCGTCTTATGCCAAATCCTCTACTGAGAAGAGGAGAAAAAACGCTGGGAACCTAAAGGTGGTGAAACCGGAAATGGCTGTGCTAACTCACTCTTCGTAGGTAAGGCAAAGAGAGACGAAACAGAGGCATCTGGAATTGCCTTAGATGCCAACACTGTGAATTCAGAGTGTCTTCCTAAGCATATGGCTTCTCTTAAAAACAAGACAAGGCAGGGCAAACCCAAACCCAAAACACTGGGCGGTAAGAGAAAACATCAGGATTGTGTGTGGGGGGGGGGGAGGGCACTCAATTATTCAGTCCTTTTAAAAGTTTCACCAGATGGAGCAGACTCCATCCAACCCCTACAACATAATCACACAGGTGGGCTTGTGAAGTGTTGCCCCTGACCTGCTCTGCAAAGCTAGCCTCATTTTTTCTGGAGTTTAGTATTAAATTTGCCTCTGAAGACCCAGATGTTGCATATTCTCATGAACTACCCATCCAAATAATCTGCTTTCAAATTTAAAAATAAATAACACTGGGGGGAGGGGTCATTACAGTGAGGATAGTTAGAAAAAATATCTCTAATGTCTATCACCCAAGTGGTAGCGAACCTCTGCTGATTTTTACTAAAATGCAACAGTACTTTTAAAATGCGATTATTTCTATTCTTATGTACACTTGTTTCTGTGGTGCTGGGAATCAACCTCGGGGCCTTTACAGGCTATGCAAGCAATCTATCACACCATTTAATATTCTCTCTCGATGTTTTAATGGCATTCTGGTATTTACATCATGCTTAGCAACTTCCCTCACCCAAGATCCCATAAATATTCATGCGTAGTTTCTGTAAGTACTTTTATGATCTCCAGTTTTACAAATTCTGGGTCCATGTGGGATTTATTTTGGTTTGTGATAGAAAGTATGGTTCTAATTTTAGTCATCCCAAATGTTAGTGGAAATCTGTCATTTTTTACTTCTCTCATTTGGGCACCTTCTTACCTAGGGGAGAAGCCATAGTGGTGGCATACACCCTTAATCCCTGAGGCAGAGGCAGGTGGAGCTCTGAGTTTGAGGTCAGTCTGGTCTACAGAGCAAGTTCCAGGATGGCCTGGTCTACACAGAGAAACCCTGCCTTTCAAAAACCAAACCAGCCAACCATCCATCCATCCAACCAACCAACCAACCAACCAACCAACCATCCAACCATCCATCCAACCATCCATCCATCCAACCAACCAACCAACCAACCAACCAACCAACCAACCAACCAACCAACTTCCTTTCTCTCAAAAATTAAAAAAATATGTATGTACATATATATCATTCATTTACCTTTCTGGTGTAGTTGTGAATTTAAAAGGCATAGAGAAACAGCCTTTTTAAAACATTCAAATATATGTAGTCTTTTAAAGTATGTGATTCAGTCAGTGGGTTTAGGTATATTCACAGGACTGTAAATCCAACAGCAGTTATCCGATTCCAGAAGATTTTTTATCACCACACACAGACTTCACGGTCATTCTCTGCTCTCTGTCCCCTCCACACAGGCAACTGTTACTCTTCTAACTTCCTGTCCATCTGCATTTCCCCAGATTTCACAGAGACAAACCTACCTTTCAAGGTCCATTGGAGCCCTACTCCTTTACAAAGATAATATTTCATTATACAAATCACCGTATTTTATCAATCCATCCATCAGTCAGTGGGCATCTGGGCCATTTGGGGACTCTTGAGCAAAGCTGCTAAGAACACTTGTAAGTTCTCAAGTGACATATGTTTTCATTGGCTGTAAGGTGGAGTCTCTGCTGAGTCATGTGGTGTCTCCCTGATAAACATCTTGAAGAGCTGCCCATCTGTTTTCCAAAGCAGACACACCATCTTATTTTCCCACTACCAGCAACCGACTTCAACGCCACACTTGCTATTGTCTGTTATTTTGATCCTAGCTGTCCTAGTGGGTGCAGTTGGTGCCTCATAGTGGGCTTAGGTGGACTTTACTAATCACTAATGACACTGAATATCTTCCTAAAGTGCTCTTGGGCCAATTGTATACTGTCTTTGGAGGAATCTTTGCAAATCCTTTGCCTGTTTTTAAACCGAGCTACACTTGAATTGACTTGTAGGAATTCTATGTTCTCGACACAGTTCCCTTGGTGGACACTTGATGTGCAAACTCCCTACTCCCCTTGTTCTGTGGATTCTCTCTGTCAGTACCACAAGACGTACATGCTTTACATTTTGAACTAATCAAATTTAACCTTAAACTGCCTGTGCTTTTGTTGTAATGGTTAAGAAAGGTGTCAAGGATCTACACTACATGCCTAACCCCAGGTGGTGGAGAGCCACACCCATACTGTCTAACCCCCAAGCCTGTTACTGGCCACAATCGTTTCATACTAAGGACATATTCTTAAATTTTACTAGTAATTAAGTTCCACTGAGTTTTATCAACTATTCTTTTCACAGAGACAAAAATCTTTCCGTTTAATTTGCTATGACCCATTATATCCATTGATTTTTCTAGTTCAGAATTCTTTGCATTCTGGAATAATTCCCACTTGCCGAGCCTTCCCTGCAGTCTGGCTCATAGTCACAAACACTCAGGATTAGATATGCATATTTACCAGTGAGCTGCCTATGGTGTTGTGTACCACCTTCTTACCACGGTTCCTTATACTGGAAAGATAAGTGAAAAGCTAGAGCCCGAGGCTAAAAATCAATGGTTTGGTTGGAATCCTAACGGTAATGTAGTGCCTGTGCCGTGCGAGCTTTTCACGCCTTCCTGTGTATTTCAGAGCCATACGGGCATTGGGGCAGAAGGGTAGCGGCTCCGTGGGAGCTGATATAGAAGGAGCATGTCACCTGAGCTCGTTCAGCAAGGACGTCCTACATGGACGTTTCTGTGTCTTGACACATGTCAGTTGGAGGAAATCCCGAACCGACCTGGGGGGCAGTGCAGAATTCATGTTGATGTCACAGCTGGGTGTGTACACTTGGTCACTTTCAGGTCTCGGTTCCCTGCATCTTTGAAGGGGCATGTCAATCATGCATCACGAAAGGATATCTTGAAGTCAGCTGAGGCCATCAAGAGCATCTCAGAGACAGGCACTTTATCATGGCATAACCCAAAAGGTCATTTGATGGGAACCTTGTGCTCTGGGTCACACCTCCGCTTACCTTCTCACTGACTGACTCCTGTAACAACCCCTCTCCCTTGCCATGTATGTTCTCTGGAAGACACCAAGCCTTCAGAAAACGTAAACATAAGATCAAAGCTATCAAATGGGAGGGTGCTACATCCACAGAGAGACTGACTGTGAGGTTTCTCCCTCAAAACCCATGCTCCTGGAGTTAGGAAAGCCAAGAGTCTGGAAATCACTAGAAATAAAGGAAACTACCTTGCTTTTCCCATAATGCTAGGCTACACCCAAAGTTGAAGCTTTCAGAATGGTCTCAGCTGTTCCTATCAAATATGACATGGTTTGGGAACAGGAATTCAAAAGCAACAGTTATAGGCACAAGATCTGGGAATTGATGATTGGCTGTTCAACTGTGGTCATCTATGAGATGACAAGACACGTGACAACCTCTTGGTCACCAGATCCTGGACTTCAAGAGCAGAACAAGTGACAGAACAAATGGGCATTTTTAGATGAAAATTTTCAAACAGGAGAAAATAGCATTTAAACAATGAAGCTATGGAACGTATTATTCCAGAAATATAAGATACAATACCATATTTATATAGAATCTGTTAGTGATTGCACATGGATTTTCATCATCTCACAGAACCTTACATGTTTTTGTGATTACACCATTTTATCAACTTGGGGACAAGCTCAGGGCATTATCAGCCAACCAACAACAGAGAGAAATTTAAACTCTGACCTGAACTAGGATTTTTTTTTTGCCATTGTTCTAAGTTTTGTCTGTTTTTTTCTGTCTGTCTGTCTGTCTGTC